CGAACCAGGGTAGATCCATGAGACCGGAACAAGTTCGGCCTCCAACCATTTCTGATATTTTTGGTCTCGAGCAAATATTTACAACTTTGAGGATCTTAGCAGTGCAGTTCATTGGGCAGGACATTCATACGAAAAAAATGGCAGAAGAATTTTATATTATTAAAAGAGAGAAAATCATATTTTAGGAAGGGTAGAAAGAAAATCATGACCTCACTTCTTCCTCGTTTTGCAAACTTCCTGTAAACCGAAATGCTTCTTATTAATGCCATACGTGTAACAAACCGACAGCTTCACGTGATGGTATACATAAAAGCCGAGTATTATGTTTCGTATTGCTATGATATATAGATTTCTTAAAAATGTCAATTTAGAGCAGGACCCAGTTTTACTAAAGGTCGTAAGTCCACACGTAGACGTAAACGTAGACGTAACCTACGTCAAAAATCTGTTTTACTAAAGATCGTAACTTTTAGTTACGTGTAAAGTTACGTGTAAGTCTACGTCTGCCTCTGAGCACACGTAAGTTCACACGTAAGTCTACGTCTACATGTCACAACGTAAACATAAACATGGCCGCGTTCTTACTTTTACAACAACAACAGATCTAGACAGTAAAGATAAGAAGAGATCGAATCTGGGTTGGGATATTTACCGAAATGGACCGGAATGGAGTTGAATTACCGGAATGGAGGGAAATGGACTTTAAATTGGCATTATTTCAAAGGAGTGGACCCTAATTTACATTCTTCATCACCAACTGGAGTCATATGTAGAAGATTGGGCGTTTATTTTGTTTAACAAGTAACATCTAATTTAAATAATTTTTTCAAAATAAGGCAATTCACGGCACGATTTTCGTTACCGAAATGGAGGGCAATGGGCCTTAAATTGGCATTATTTCGAGAGAATGGACCCATATATGCATTCTTTATAACCCAATAGAGCTACAGATGGGTAGTTAAATTAGACTGGAAATAATTTTTATTTATCATTTAAAGACGCGCAATAGCCGAGATTCACGGTACGATTTTCGATGCCGCTGTATCATCGAAATGGAGGGATATGGACCTTAAATACGCTCAATTTCAAGAGAATGGACCAAAATATATTTTCTTTGTCATTCATTGGTGATATCTATTAAAGATCGAAGGTTTACCTGTTCTGAAAGTATTTTTTTTTTTTTTTTCTAAATTTGGGAAATGATATCGATCATATAGACAGAAGTAAAAAAGGAGACGGAAAGCGGAAAATCCGGATTTATTAGTTTAATTAACACAAAAAAACACAAACAATACCTTGTGGAATAATTGAGAATGAGAATTACCACCCAATATTACCCAATACCACCCAATACTACCCAATACAACCCAATACTACCCAATACAAGTGTCGATTTACCCAATACAACCATGAAGATTTACAAAACCTAATAGATAATACACAAAGAAGATGTGATGCATAAAATACCTATAAAGAGGACATTCGAAGAAAAAATGTATTGTTTTCTGTCTATATTTTGCAGTTTCATTCACGAATGGAACAGTAAACGAATGGATACACATTAGTGAAATGCTTTTCTTAACCTAGCCATATATTTTTTAATGTCTTCACAACAATATATTGTACCTATTAACAAGTAAACGATGTCTGGAAAGAGTGATGGAATATTTCATTAGTGGTAGATAGTAGGTCAATAACGGAAAAAACATAATTATACTCGCTCACTCTCATATATTACCATTTGTACTTGTTTTATGTTGTATTGTTAGAACTTACATATATAAAGACATTACGTAAAAAATAATATATATTTTAGGATCATTAACTGTATTTCTGATCGTTTCTAGAATAATGTATTGGAATATAGGAGATCGCGATCGCGAGCATCATTATTATACCGGTATTTTGAAAACTTATGAATATATATATATGTGTGTAAATATTTGAATTCAAGTTTCGTTGTTCTTGTTTTTTTTTAAATTTAGTTACCATTTTGATTGGTAATTGAGTGTTCCATGTATATAAAATGTATGCTTATTTGCCTCAATAGCGAATGACTATTAATTCTATTACGAACCACATATAATTTTGACAACGAGGGATATATATTATCACAATGATTATTTAAAGCTCAACATGGCTATTATCTATTGTGTAATTTTACTTTTTTTTCGAACATGAAAACAATCTGAGAAAGTTTATGTAATTAACAGTGATTTCTTTTGTAAAGCGGATGGGAATCATAAAGTTACACATCTGTACACACCTGTTTCATTTAGACAACAGTGTAGACATCATCAGATCATACGCAGAAACAGGATTTGTAACAAATGTAATTTGAGAGATATAGAAGACGAGTTCCATTCTATTTTGATTTGTCCATTTTATAGCGATTTGAGACACAGATTAATCAAAACATACTATTATAAAAAAAATCAGTTTTTAAATTAATACAACTTCTTAGTACTATAAAAAAACTACATGTCCAATGATGATACTTTAAATACTTTGATTAGTTATCCATACATACCCTTAAATTTAGAAATATTTATGAGGCATAAAAAAGGAACTCAAGATTTTTATAAGTTGTTGTGCCAAAATAGTACCATATCCACTGGGAAAAACAAATGGAATGAATTGTTTGAATTTGATGATGACACATGGAAATTGATATATATGCTTCCATTTACAGTAACTAGAAATTCAAAATTACAATGGCTTCAATACAGAATAAATCAACACATTTTAACAACAAACTCTTATCTAGTTAAAGCAGCTCTTACCGATAGTGCTCTTTGTTTTCAATGTAAGACTGAAATAGAGACAATAATTCACACACTATGGGAATGTGAGAAAGTACAAGACTTTTTACAAAATTTTGAATTCCTTCTTGATGCATTGTTTATCCCATTTGGTTTTAACAAGGAAACCTTCATTTTCGGTTTATTTAATCAAAATAGTATCAGTAGTAGGGTAGATAATACCATAATTTTACTTATAAAACAATATATTTATAAATCGAGATGTTTACAAATGTCATTGTCAGTAGCTGCACTTAAGAACGTTATCAAGGACACATATTTTACTCAGAGATATATTGCTGTTAATAAAAGTGAATTATTTTTATTGAAATTCAATACTGAATGGAAAAAATGGGAAAGTCTAATTAATATTGCTTAAACCCTGTCTTTGCCAAAATATGAACATATAACTATCGAGTTTTCTTATATAAACATGTACTTCTAAATACTTATATGTAAAACTTCTTGAACCTTCCAACACATCTATATAACTTCTTTATTTCTCAATATCCACCCCCCCCTCGTTTTTTTTCGTTTTTTTTCTTTTCTTTCTTCTTTTTTTTCTCTCTCTCTTAGTCTTACTTTCCCTTCTATACCTCTAGGACCTGCTCTAACCTCTTTTCTATCACTTCTAAACAGTGCTTTTATATAACGGACACAATTTAGATGGAATTTAATTATACATAAACATAATTCATTATTAATTATACCTGGAAATATGCAGTTTTATTATAAATGAATATTTAATGAATGAATTGTAATGTGTGAGAGGAATAATGTTTATGTATGATATATTTGCATTGTTATAAATTTGGAAAAAAATAAAAAATTACAAAAAAAAACCTTCTTAGTATAACTTATGTTAGAGAGCTATCCGATTTAGGTAAATATTTATATTGGCATTCAAGAGGCGTTAATTATAGGTTTATGTATTCACATTATTGAACGGTGTTTAAAGTATACTGTGATGTCACTCACCTTTCTATACTTATTATGTTTAGATGATGGTATATGTATATGTGTATGTACCTATAAGCTTAAGGGCTTTTAGTTAATAAAGACTACATGAATGAAGGTAGGGATTATGTCCACGTGTGATGTGATTGACATGTATTTAGGTATGGCTTTGGCCACGTGTCATCTGAACCAGTTTCACACCTGACCATCGACTGACAGGTGATGCTTGCTACAAACAACAATATTTTCTGTATTTCTTTGATAAATAATGAAATTTATTTTTCTATATTTTATCCGATATTATAACGATAAATTATTGTATATCATTCCCGTGATAATTTACTTCATAAATGATGAAATATATCTTGCTACATTTTTTCCCAATGTAACAACGATACATTAATGTATATCATTCCCGTCATAGTTTACTTCATAAATAATGAAAATTCATTTACAAGTACGCCCGATTAGGATCTACATATATTTAACTTTAATTGTAAACTTATTTGGTATATCAGTTTCATTGGGTATTTACTTTCTGTATTGGGTTGTATTGGGTAAATCGATGTTTGTATTGGGTAAATCGGCGCTTGTATTGGGCTGTATTGGGTAAATCGACGGACCCTTTACTAAAGTGAAAGTATGCGATGCGCATGTACCTTGATGCGTTGCTACGTCATTTTTATCTCCAATTTGGAGAGTTCCAGTCGTAAGTCTACGTCCAAGGCTACCTCTAACCCTACGTTTACGTTCGGAGTTACGACCTTTGATAAAACAGACCTTACGCACACGTAACTAAAATCGTAACTCGACTTACGTCTACGTTTACGTCTTAGTTTACGTGTGGACTTACGACCTATAGTAAAACTGGGTCCAGGTTCGTCCCATGACATCGGGCAGGTTTGGCCCATGCTTTACATGGGAAGCCGGAAATGACGTTGCATGCTTTATGATGTCATAATTATGCTCCAGACATCCTGTTTATGTTGTTTCGGCAAAAAAATGTTGTTTCGGTAAAAAATCGATTGCAAATGTGCCCTTAGCGCATGTGTCCGACTACTTAACCTCCACATGTATATGTGTAGAACTTCTTTGAAATTGACGACACAATTATGCATCGCTATTTTAAAACGGTATTCTTGTACCTAATCTCAAAGCACATCTTACGAAATGCCTGGAGCTGGAAATTGCTGCATTTTCGAATTCGCGATTTATAGAGCCTTCACTGAAAAAACCCAAATAGCACTGCACCAAAAGTTTCCCAGTATACTGAAATCTGATTTTCGTTATAGATCGACGACAAAGCGAACAGCCCCCCACCACCGTACCAGGCTGTCAGCGACTCATCACACCCCCCGAGCAAAATGGAGAAGAAAAGCTTATGTGAGGAAACATTTAGTCATATCACATTACTACGTCATCGTACGATTACTTCATTTCAAACATACTATTATTTCTAAACGTTTTAAAGGTGTTTTTGGGTCGTGGATTTTTCTTAAAGAATATTATCTGTCCTTCTCTTCTATTCGTGAAGATATTTTACAAACTGTTGCTGATCTGTATGATAAAAAATCGAAATAGTTGCGCTTATGTTTTCGACTTTTTCATTATATTTCAGCATCCACGAGCGGGGATAAAATCGCATTAAAGGATGTGACAGTGGAAACGCCCACTGGTGACTCATCAATTTCCTCCAAAAGTAAAAAATGTTGTCGGGCACAAGTCTACTACATCAGCATATGTGTGGTGCTCGGGGCAGGACTCATCAGCGCTCTCATATACTTCATACGTAAGTGTCTGGACATGATAATGTCGAGTTCGGTAGGCATATTAAGGTTGGTCGTTCTGGATACTTCAATAGTTCTGCACTCCCTTTCGCTCTCTGCACCCCTGGCATACTGTTTATTGAAGGCACACGGGTCCTTACAATGTGTTTGATTTGTCTCAGGTGAAAAAGAAACCTGACCAATCGCTAGGATGATACCTGTCCTTTGACGAGTACATAAGAGCGACACCTGACTTCAAGCCAGTCAATCTTGTCTGCTTGTCTCATCCACAAAGAGATGCACACTGAGCCCTCAATTTTGCTACGATATATGTCCAAGGGTGGCAGAGAGCGAAAATGAGCGTAAGCCCTGGGGTATCGAGTGTGGTTCTTATATTAAACATGTATTAGATTAAGACATCTTTGCTTAATGAAAAGGTCTGGATGTAACTGTTTTGCATATAATTTCTGGTAATTTGGCTTTCTATGCAAACAAAATTTACAAATAGGTACTTTCTTCGTATTTTTAGTGATAATGTTACGTCACAGGGCTGTGAACTCTGATAGATGACATTCAGTTCATTAATTTATGAGGTTGGCAGTAACCATGTACCTTGAATTTATGCTGTCACGGTTTAAGTATAAATTTCATCATGAAGAGTTGTATAGGCACCGTAGTTTAGCGGTAGGACGCCGGGCTCTCTACCGAAGAGTTGTGGGTTCGAGTCATGGCACGGCACTGTGTTGTAGTTTAACGTCCTATTAACAGATAAGGTATTTTAAGAACGTGCCTTTATGTATGTTTGTGTAGTTAACTCCTTTCGATAGCGCGAATCTGCTGCCGTCTTAGAGTGTAATCTCACTGAAATACCATCCAGCAGTAAAGTATTCCACCTGGTCTCATTATACCGAAAATGAAAAAGAAAAGTAGATTCGTACATAATTTAATTTTTATAGTTCTGCATGTCAATGCTGGTGATCCGGACTCGTCCAAATCAATGGCCCTGGGTACTACTGGTAAGTAAAACATTTGCTTGTAATTTTAGACTAAAAAACGGCAAAAAAGATTTGACATAAAAGTTAAATACTGTCTTAATATAAGTCCAAAAGCTATTTTACCATTCGAAAAGATATATGTATATATTGACTTTGACGAAACTAATATTCTAATAGAATGTCTTAAAATCTGCGGATTTGGTTTGGATTTATCATTATTTGAAAGATTTCAAAAATCATTAATTTTATTGAGCTGATATAAATCTCCAGCTACTACAATTCTGCACAATTATCAGTAGTAAATATGATTAAAGGTTTATTCTAAATCATATTTGTTTAATATACATGTATAATATATTTGGCAAAACTTTTTATTTTTTATTTAATATTGCATATATTTATGTTATTGCATTCTGTGTGATCTATTAATTCTTTCAGCATTCTCTTAGCTCTCATAACTGAAAGAATTTTACAGGCCATGGGTATGAAACATAGCGAACAAATGAAAAATAGTATATTTACAACAAAAAACTGTAAAAGTCGAAATGTTAGAAGTGTGTTTTTTTCATGTGTTTTTTGTGCGAGTAACTTAGCGCAAACATAACCACACGCGAATATTTATTAACACATGATACAAATTATAGATAAATAGACAATCCTGAAGTCAGAATTATTGTTGACACAGTGATCAGTTCAAAGGGTCACAACATTTTTTACAGGCGACAATCTCCATTTTTAAAGTAAATCAATTGGATGTATCTAAATATTTTTATATATAAATCAATTTCATAAGAAATATAAAATTATGAAAGTCGCCAAATTCTACCGAATTCTTTTCCAGACAAAAGAAACATATTTATGTTATCTTAGTTTTCAATATATCAATGACTGCATAAATTAAATTATGAATACAAATGTTTTTTTTGTTTCTCTGATAGACGCCATGAGTGCAGGAGACCCAGAAGGTGAGTCCAATACAAGTTATATAATCCTGATCACGTGTATAAATGTATATACGTATGGTAAACACAACCCTGTCACCTTTATATAAACATATGGTTAACACAACCCTGTCACGTGTAAATAAACATTACATAAATGTAATCATTATCAAGTGTATATATACATATGGTAAACACAACTCTGTCACGTGTAAATAAACATAACATAAATATAATCCTTATGACGTGTGTAAATTCATATGGTAAACACAACCCTGTCACCTTTATATAAACATATGGTTAACACAACCCTGTCACGTGTAAATAAACATAACATAAATGTAATCATTATCAAGTGTATATATACATATGGTAAACACAACTCTGTCACGTGTAAATAAACAAAACGTAAAAACATATGGTTAACACAACCCTGTCACGTGTAAATAAACATAACATAAATGTAATCATTATCAAGTGTATATATACATATGGTAAACACAACTCTGTCACGTGTAAATAATCATAACGTAAAAACATATGGTTAACACAACCCTGTCACGTGTAAATAAACATTACATAAATATAATCATTATCAAGTGTATATATACATATGGTAAACACAACTCTGTCACGTGTAAATAAACATAACATAAATATAATCCTTATCACGTGTATATATAATATGGTAAACACAACCCTTTCACCTTTATATATATACATAATGATACATATAATCCGTATCACGTGTAAATATACATATGGTAAATATTATATATAGGGTAAATGTAATCTTGATCAGGTCTATATAAACCCATGGTAAACACAACACTGTCACATGTATATAAGCATATGGTAAATAATCTGGATCAGATGGTAAAAATAAAATAACCCTAATCACGTGCAGATAATGTTTATAAACATATGACAAATACAATTCTGATTACGTGTATATATATATATATGGCAAATACATCCTGATCATGTGTATATATATATATGGTAAATACATCCTGATCACGTGTATATATATATATGGCAAATACATCGGCAAATACATCCTGATCATGTGTATACAAACCTATTGTAATTTCATTCCATATCACAGGTTTATATACATATGGTAACACAATACATAATCCTGATCACGTGTATATAAACATATGGCTAGCACAACCATTTCACGTGTATAATTCATATTTTAAATAAAATCCATATCACGTGTATATAAACATATGGCAAACATAACCATGTCAGGTTTATAATTCATATTTTAAATATAATCCATATCACGTGTATATTTACATACATGTTGCATGGTAAGCACAACCATGTCACGTGGTGAATACATTCATTATCATGTACAATATAAAGTATATTAACCAACCACAGAAAATACAGCCGTTATCTTGTGTATCTATAACACATGGCAAATACAATCGTTCAATGTTGATATATCACACAAGTTAGATACAATATTGATCAGGTATATATATATCACACTATGTCAATACGTTCCTCGTAATGTCTATATACCATACAAGGTAATACAGCCGTTATCTTGCGTATCTATGTGTATCGACATGTACCACACAAATTAGATACAATCTTTAAAATGTATATATACCACACACGTTAAAAACTAATATGTATTATGTATATATACAATTTGTACATACAAGTTACAACACAAATTTGTACAATATTTAAAATGTATATATACCACAAACGTTAAAAACTAATCTGTATTATGTATATATACCATTTGTACATACAAGTTACAACACAAATTTGTCAGGTGTGTATACTAAGCAAGATAAATGGTATATATCACGGAAAATATACACATTCTTTACACCATATCAGAGACGTATACATTACTCGTCTCTGACCATATGTATATACGATACAAATTAATTACAATCTTTATTATATTTATGTACCTACTCGATATTCCAGAGGTTACCATCACTTTCGCTCTCTGCACTCATGGAATATGTCAAAGCAAAATCGAAGGCTCAGTGTGCGCCACTTTGTGGATGAGACAAGAACTAGTTTGATCCTTTGATTACACCAAAAGAAACTCGCGGTACTAGGCGGTCAAAATGACTATCTTTAAAGTCTAGTATCGTTACTCTGTAATCTTCAAAATATAGCCTATCGATTGGTCTGGTTTTTTTTCCCTAAGACCAATCAAACACAATTTTTAAATAATGTGTATAGCTCACAGAAGTCAAATACAATGTTTATTATGTGTATGTACAACACAAATTAAATGCAATCTTTACATCATTTGTATAAACCACACTTATCAAATATTTGTTTATCATGTATGTATATATTACGCTATGTAAATACAATTCTGGTCAGTGCATATATACCAACAAGGTAAGTGCAATCGAGGCCATGATAGTATAATACATTATTATTATTTCATATTATTCCCCACAAGTGATTGGCCAGGAGTGCATCACGTGTCCACCGATGAAAAAACGATATTGACTTGGATATTTTTGTTGAACGTGTCTCCTAACAACACACCGTCCCGCTTCCGAAGATTTTTTTTTTTTTTTTTTCTCAGATTGCTTACATCACTGTTTTGAAAATTGTAAAACGATTGTAGCCTTTAACTTCGGTCGATACCTGGATTTATCATCCCGAGAAAAGATATATCAATATATCTCGGCTAATATATCTTTTCTCGGGTCGATAAATCCAGGTATCGACCTCAGCAATTGAATAATGTCAATATAAACCATAGGTCCATGACATTCAAAGTTGATATGATGGCCATATGGTCTGATAGAGTTATAATGTGGCAATGACATAACCAATATGTATCCTAATTTATGGAAAGGCGTTGTATTTATGCGTTTAGAATTAATTTGGCAATCGTCAACAATACATGTGAGTTTCGATACTGTGAGATGTAAACCGCATAGTACCGGAATGTATGTAACAACACATACTGCACTTTGTACATTACAAGCTGCAGTAACTTTATATACATACTGTTCAAGTTTGAAAAAAAGGATAAGCGCAGTTTGATCGAGAAATGGCAACACTGGTGTTACACACGATATCGAATTGGTATTTCAAACGTCATAGAAATGCGTGACTGACGATATATTGCCGTGTTTAAGTCAACCGGCATCGAAATGCTTGACTATACATTGGCGTATTTTAGCCAATCAGCATCAAAATGCGTGACAATACATTGGCGTGTTTGAATCAATCAGCATCGAAATGCGTGACGATACATTGGCGTGTTTGAATCAATCGGCATCGAAATGAGTGACCATACATTGACGTGTTTGAGTCAATCGGCATCGAAATGCGTGATCATACATTGACGTGTTTGAGTCAATAAGCATCGAAATGCGTGATCATACATTTGCGTGTTTGAGTCAATCGGCATCGAAATGCGTGATCATATATTGACGTGTTTGAGTCAATCGGCATCGAAATGCGTGATCATACATTGGCGTGTTTGAGTCAATCGGCGTCGAAATGCGTGACCTTACATTAGCTTGTTTGAATCAATTGGCATCGAAATGCGTGACGATACATTGCCGTGTTTGAGTCAATCGGTATCGAAATTAGTGACCATACATTGACGTGTTTGAGTCAATCGGCATAGAAATGCGTGATCATACATTGGCGTGTTTGAGTCAATCGGCATCGAAATGCGTGATCATACATTGGCGTGTTTGAATCAATCAGCATCGAAATGAGTGATCATACATTGACGTGTTTGAGTCAATCAGCATCGAAATGCGTGACCATACATTGACATGTTTGAGTCAATAGCATAGAAATGCGTGATCATACATTGGCGTGTTTGAATCAATCAGCATCGAAATGGCTGATCATACATTGGCGTGTTTGAGTCAATCAGCATCGAAATGCGTGACCATACATTGACATGTTTGAGTCAACAGCATAGAAATGCGTGATCATACATTGGCGTGTTTAAATCAATCAGCATCGAAATGAGTGATCATACATTGACGTGTTTGAGTCAATCAGCATCGAAATGCGTGCTCATACATTGATGTGTTTGGGTCAATCAGCATCAAATTGCGTGACGATACATTGGCGTGTTTGGGTCAATCAGCTTCGAAATGCGTGATCATACATTGACGTGTTTGAGTCAATCAGCATCGAAATGCGTGATCATACATTGATGTGTTTGGGTCAATCAGCATCAAATTGCGTGACGATACATTGGCGTGTTTGGGTCAATCAGCATCGAACTGCGTGATCATACATTGACGTGTTTGATTCAATCAGCATCGAAATGCGTGATCATACATTGATGTGTTTGGGTCAATCAGCATCAAATTGCGTGACGATACATTGGCGTGTTTGGGTCAATCAGCATCGAAATGCGTGATCATACATTGACGTGTTTGAGTCAATAAGCATCGAAATGCGTGATCATACATTGACGTGTTTGAGTCAATAAGCATCGAAATGCGTGATCATACATTTGCGTGTTTGAGTCAATCGGCATCGAAATGCTTGATCATACATTGGCGTGTTTGAATCAATCAGCATCGAAATGACTGATCATACATTGGCGTGTTTGAGTCAATCAGCATCGAAATGAGTGACCATACTTTGACATCTTTGAGTCAATCGGCATCGAAATGCATGACCATGCATTGGTGTGTTTGAGTCAACCGGCATAGAAATGCGTGACCATACATTGGCGTGTTTGAATAATCGGCATCGAAATGCGTGATCATACATTTACGTGTTTGAGTCAATCAGCATCGAATTGCGTGACGATACATTGGCGTGTTTGAATCAATCGCCATCGAAATGCGTGATCATACATTGCCGTGTTTGGGTCAATCAGCATCGAATTGCGTGACGATACATTGGTGTGTTTGGGTCAATCAGCATCGTACTGCCTTATCATACATTGAGGAGTTTAAGTCAATCAGCATCGAAATGCGTGATCATACATTGACGTGGTTGAGTCAGTCAGCATCGAAATGCGTGATCATATATTGACG